ATTGGTTTTATGTGTACCGTAAGAGAGGGAAAGGAAAGAATGACATCCAGTTTTCTACCATAGGTGCTGAGGTGGGTAAAATTCTACTTAGTTAAATCTCAAGTTCCCCTTTTGCGCTCTCGGATGGCACTCACTTCCATTCCTTTATCATCATAGATGGAAATATGTAATTGTGGGTTTTTTTGTTCATTTGTTTTGAGACAGGGTGTTGCTCTGTCACCCAGGCTGGAGTGCAGTGGCACCTTCGCAGCTTACTGTAGCCTCAACTTCCTGGCTTCTAGCAATCCTCCCATGTCAGCCTCCCAAATAGCTGGGGCTACAGGCACGAGCACCACACCCAGGTAATTTTTTATTTTTTGTAGGAACAGGGTCTCACTATGTCGCCCAGGCTGGTCTCAAACTCCCAGGCTCAAGCAATCCTCTCACCTTGGCCTCCCAAAGTGCAGGCCTGAACCACCATGCTGGGCCGGGCTTATTTGTTTGGTGGCAGTCTGCTTCTCTAGAGTGAAAAGGCAGTGGGGTGGAACCATGTGTGGTCTTGCTCATCCTTCTATCCCAGCCCTAGCACAGTGAGTGGCACAGAGTAGGCACTTGATAAATAGTTGTCAACAAATATAGACTGTGTCAATTATACCTCAATACATTGGGGAAAAAGAAATTAAAAATGGACTGAGAAAAGGAACATACAGAAAGAAAAGACACTTTAAGAAGTTCCTTTTTGGAGCCAGGCGCAGTGGCTCACGCCTGTAATCCCAGCACTTTGAGAGGCTGAGGCTGGCAGATCATGAGGTCAGGAGTTCAAGACCAGCCTGACTAACATGGTGAAACCCCGTCTCTACTAAAAATACAAAAATTAGCTGGGCATGGTGGCGTGCTCCTGTAATCTCAGCTACTCGGGAGGCTGAGGCATGAGAATCGCTTGAACCCAGGAGGCAGAGTTTGCAGTGAGCTGAGATTGAGCCACTGTACTCCAGCCTGGGTGACAGCGCGAAGACTCTGTCTCAGGAAAAAAAAAAAAAGGAAGTTCCTATTTGGACATGGTGAGTTTGAAATGACTATGCAAAAGTCCAGGTGGAGATGGCCAGGAGGCAGCTGGAAATGAGTTTGAGATTCAGGGAGAGATTAGGTTTGGAGATAGAAAGTTGAGAGTTAAGGTCGGGCGTGGTGGCTCACGCCTGTAATTCCAGCACTTCGGGAGGCTGAGGTGGGCGATCACCTGAGGTCAGGAGTTTGAGACCAGGCTGACCAACATGGAGAAACCACATCTCTACTAAAAATACAAAATTAGCAGGCGTGGTGGTGCATGCCTATAATCCCACCTACTCGGGAGGCTGAGGCAGGAGAATAGCTTGAACCCTGGAGGCGGAGGTTGCGGGGTGAGCCAAGATTGTGTCATTGCACTCCAGCCTCGGCAACAAGAGCAAAACTCCATCTCAAAAAAAAAAAAGAAAGTTGAGAGTTAACAGCATGTCATAAAATAAAAGCAGGAAAGAAGTGTGTAGGAGCAGACCCCAATGAAGTTCAACATTTAATGTCATTTACTTCCTCCCACTTCTTAGTCAATCACCTCTGCCTTATCCAAGTGCACTGTCACCTTCCCCTGCGCTGCTCACGGGGATGGCATATGACACAGCCCCAGGGGACACATTCCTATGTTGTGCTCCAGGGAGGGCCTGCCTTTGCCTTCATGACCTTTTCCAAGGTGACATCATGTGCCTATAATATCTTTTCCCCATTTGCCAACTCAGTTTTCTCCAGTTCCTTAAACAGCCAGTGAATTCACGGAAATCCTCTTCCATTAAATCCTTTTGCAGCAGACCACAGAATAGCAACTATCCTGAATATTCTGACCTCTGAATAGCAAATTACCATTCTGCTGAATCAAAATGTGGAACTCTTACTCATTCCCAGTTCTTCTTCCAATTAGATGCCTTGTTGTTTACTCTTAAAATCAACTTAGGTCTCTTTCCTTTCTTTCCTATTTTTCCTTTCTTCCCACTTTTTCCTTTCTTCTTCCACTTCCCCTTCCCCTTCCCCTTCCCCCCCTTCCTTCCTTCCTTCCTTCCTTCCTTCCGTCCTTCCTTCCTTCCTTCCTCCCTCCCTCCCTCCCTCCCTCCCTCCCTCCCTCCCTCCCTCCCTTCCTTCCTTCCTTCCTTCCTTCCTTCCTTCCTTCCTTCCTTCCTTCCTTCCTTTTTTCTTTCCTTTCTCTTTTTCTTTCATCTTTCTTTCTCTTTTGAGATGAAGTTTCTCTCTGTCACCAGGCTGGAGTGCAGTGGCACGATCTCAGCTCACTGCAACCTCCACCTCCCAGGTTCAAGCGATTCTCCTGCCTCAGCCTCCTGAGTAGCTGGGATTACAGACATGCACCACCACACCTGGCTAATTTTTGTATTTTTAGTAGAGATAGGGTTTTACCTTGTTGGCCAGGCTGGTCTGGAATGCCTGACCTCATAATCTGCCCTCCTCGGCCTCCCAAAGTGCTGGGATTATAGACGTGAGCCACCACGCCCGGCCCATTTATTTATTTTTGAAACCGGGTCTCACTCTGTCTCCCAGTGCTGTGGCAAGATCATGGCTCACTGCAGCCTTGACTTCCCAGACTCAGTCCTCCCATTTCAGCCTCTCAAGTAGCTGGGACAACAGACATGCGCCACCATGCCTGGCTAATTTTTATATTTTTTGTACAGACAGGGCCTTGCTATGTTGCCCAGGCTGGTCTTGACCTTCTGGGCTCAAACCATCTGACTACCTCAGCCTTCCAAAGTGCTGGGATTACAGGTGTGAACCACCATGCCTTGCCCAAATTAGGCTTGTCTTGATGCGAACACCTTGTTGTCTGTTGCTATTTGGTTTATTGTTTCTGCGTCATTGTCTGTGTGTTCGGCCATAGCAGTGATCTACGTGTCCTGAGCTGGTGCTTACCCTGAAGAAATCATAGGCTGTGTCAGGCAGAGCCATGACGGTCTGGATTATCTAGCACAGTTCTGTTGAAAATATTCATTTGATATGTCAAGCTAGGCATTTTGTTTTCTTTTTCTTTGTTTTATATAGAGTCAGGGTCTCACTATGTTGCCCAGGCTGGTTTTGAACTCCTGGCTTCCCACCTTGGCCTCTCAAAGTGCTGGAATTACAAGTGTGAGCCACTGTGCCCAACCCAAACTGTGCATTTTGGCTCAGAAAATGTTGTTAGGGCAGGAACACTTGGCAGATTTCTTGGTATTTACAATTAGGCACTTAATACATGCTTTTCAGAAATAATAACAACAACAAAAAAGGAACTTGAGCTTCTCAAGTCTTAGCTTTGTCTGAAGCCCACAGGGTCTCTTTAGAAAGGATAATGTCTAAAATCAACATTATAAATATATTTATAGGAGACTAATTTGAGTATTAATAAAACTCCGATGTCCTGCAAAAATAAAAATAAATAAGTATTTATGGTCTATATGTCAATATAGTAACTTCTCAGTGATGGTCAGTAAGGGATAAATTACTCCATTTATTAAGTGCCTAACTGTAAATACCAGGAAATCTGCCAAGTGTTCCTGCCCTAACAACATCGGAGAACAACAGGAAGCCTGATCAACAGTGGCTTTTCCCTTGATAGCAAGTGCAGGGATAGGCAGTCCCCTGTAGTCCCAGCTACTCGGGAGGCTCATCCGCATAGGAGCTGCCCATAGTCGCCGTCAAGGAGGGACCCGGGCTGCTCTCACCTGTCCATTCTGCCCTTGTTAGTTACACTGGCTTTTGTCCTCACACTTGTCATCTCATGGACAGTGGTGGCTGCTCCACTTCTAAGTTTCATGTCCCCAGGAAGATGGTAGTAAGAGGTCGGGGGTGGAGGGACAAGGGAAAAAGACATTTCTTGTACTGAGGTGTTGTCATTTTATTCAGGAAGGGAAACCCTCCTTAGTGATTCCACTTACATCTCATTGACCATCTCTCCCTACAAGGGAACAGAGAGATGGAGTTTGTAGCTTTTACAGCTTCTATGACAGAGCTAGACAAGTGAGATGGGAGAAATGATTGGGAGGTGCCAATCAAGTACTTCAGACTTAAGAAAAAAATCGAAACCACATTATTGCATCTGCATATTTCCTAAGATCCTGTGAGCAACACATCTTACACTAATTTACTTGTGCAGATGTTGATTTCTATCTACATAATTTACAGAATGATCTCATTTCAAAAAATTCCACTCCATAAAATATGAACAATATTACACTCCTTTCTCATTTTCAGTTTTGGTGTCAGTTTATATGGTCTATTTTATCAAAGTGAACTAGGAAAATGATTGAAAATATTTCTAGATGCTAATTCAGGTAACTGGGTGAATAAGAGATTTTTTTTTTTTTTTTTTTTTTTTTTTTGAGATGGAGTCTCGCTCGGTCACCCAGGCTGGAGTGTGGTGGCACAATCTTGGCTCACTGCAACCTCTGCCTCCCGGATTCAAGCGATTCTCCTGCCTTAGCCTCCTGAGTAGCTGGGATTACAGGCATGCACCACCACGCCTAGTTGATTTTTGTATTTTTAATAGAGACAGGGTTTCACAATGATGGCCAAGCTGGTTTCGAACTCCTGACCTCAAGTGATCTACCCACCTCGGCCTCCCAAAGTGCTAGGATTACAGGCGTGAGCCACCACGCCTGGCCAAATAAGAAATATTTTTAACCATGTGTCATTTTTTCTTTCTTTTTCTTTTTTTTTTTTTTTAATGAGATGGGGTATTGCTCTGTTGTCCAGTCTGGAGTACAGAGGCACGATCATAGCTCACGGCAACCTCCAATTCCTGGGCTCAAGCAGTCTTCCTGCCTCAGCCTCTTGAGTTGCTGGTATTACAGGCATGAGCCACCACACCTAGCTGTCATTTTTATTTTACTTTATTATTTAATTTATTTAATTAATTTATTTATTTAGAAACAGGATCTCAGTCTGTCTGTTGCCCAGGCTGGAGTGCAGTGACATGATCATGGCTCACTGCAGGCTTCACCTCCTGGGCTCAAATGATCCTCCCACCTCAGCCTCCAGAGTAGCTGGGACTACAGGTAAGAGCCACTTTGCCTGGCTAATGTTTTTACTTTTACTTTTAGTAGAAATGAGGTCTGCCTATGTTGTCCAGGCTGGTCTTCAACTCCTGGGCTCAAGCGATCCTTCTGTTTCAGTCTCCCAAAGTGCTGGGATTTCAGGCATGAGCCACCATATCCATCCCTGGCTGTCATTTTTAAAGTTAGTTCCTGGTCTTTTCCTCTGTGGTGGCAAAAATTTCTTTGACTGGCAAGCAGCGGTACCAAAGGTAATGTTACCTACCTTCCCACGTTTGTCCCCACTTGGCACATTACATCAATTGGAGTCAGCCAGGTTCCATGGCTCATGCCTGTAATCCCAGCAATTTGGGAGGCCAGGATGGGAGGATGGCTTGAGGACAGGAGTTCAAAACCAGCCTAGGCAACATAGTGAGACCTTGCCTCTACAAAAAATAAAAAATTAGGCAAGGCGGTGAGCGCCTGTAGTCCCAGCTACTCGAGAAGCTGAGCCTGGAGGATCACTTGAGCCCAGGAGTTCCAGGCTGCAGTGAGCTATGATGGAACCACTGCACTCCATCCCGGGTGACAGAACAAGATCTTGTCTCTAAAAAAAAAAAAAATAATAAGGGCTGGGCACGGTGGCTCACGCCTGTAATCCCAGCACTTTGGGAGACCGAGGCGGGTGGACTATGAGATCAGGAGTTCGAGACCAGCCTGGCCAACATAGTGAAAACCCATCTTTACTAAAAATACAAAAATTATCTGGGTGTGGTGGCACATGCCTGTAGTCCCAGCTCCTTGGGAGTCTGAGGCAGGAAAATTGCTTGAACCCAGGAGGAGGAGGTTGTAGTGAGCCGAGACCAAGCCATTGCACTCCAGCCTGGGTGACAGAATAAGACTCTGCCTCAAAAAAAAAAAAAAAAAAAAAAAAAAAAAAAAAAAAAATTTAAAAGAAGAAACCATAAATTGGAGTTGGTGTAGACATAAAGTCAGAGAATGGGTTTTGAGTGTGTGGCGCATTTTTCACTGAGAAGGGCTTTATCTCCATCTCGTGGACAACCTTATCTTTGCAATGTCAGCAGTGGTTCTCTGGCCTTAACCACATATGAGGATCACGAGGAGGACTTGCAAACAGTCCAATATCCAGTCCTCTCCACCCCACCCCCACCAACTCAGTTAGTATACATATATATAATCTGTAGCTGGGAGATAGGAGGCAGGAAAAAAAGATCTGTAGCCAACTTTCATATGCAATTAGGGCTAAAAACCAGTAAGTTAGAAGAAACTCTGAATCAGTTATGAATACTGGAACAATCATTCCTTCTATAAGACTGCCATAAAGTAAAAAGAGCAATATCTGTAGGTAAATTATATAATCTTCCCAAGGCCCTTTACAACTTGCAGAGAGGAAATCGAGAAGTTGCTAGCAATATGAGAAATCTAAATCCAAATCCAAATTGCTTCCTGTGCAACTCTCCCTATGATGAGGCAGAAATGTGCTGAGCAAAGAGACATGCAAATACACACACCATCAGACTTGTCCCTGGGCCAAACTGTCAAGTGGTTTCCTCCTGATTTTGGTATCGTATGTGTTTACTGGCTGCTTTCTTGCATATATCCTTGTTTAATTTTGGTTCTTCTCATGAATGCCAATAGTTGCCTGAGAGTACAGGGCCCTGGAGGGCCTCAGGTACCCACCCAGATCTTGCATTTCCCTCTGTCTTTTCATTTATTAAAACTTACCTTGCCGGGATCTGATTCTTTCTCAGCTCATTATCTTTTTAAAAAGCTTCTCAAACTATTTCCTGCTGATGATGGGTGGGTCTTCATCATGATGCACGCATTACTGGAATACACTTTTTTGTTTTTAGGACGATGTCTCCCTCTGTCGCCCAGGCTGGAATGCAGTGGTGCAATCTCAGCTCACTGTAACCTTTTGCCTCCCGGTTCAAGTGATTCTCCTGCCTCAGCCTCCTGAGTAGCTGGGATCACAGGAGCCGGCCATCATGCCTGGCTAAATTTTTTTATTTTTAAAAGTAGAAATGGAGTTTCACCATGGTGGTCAGGCTGGTCTCGAACTCCTGACCTCAGGCGATCCGCTGCCTCGGCCTCCCAAAGTGCTGTGAGTACAGGCGTGAGCCACCAAGCCCGGCCTGGAATAAAATTTAGTCATTAAAATAGGAGACCAAGTTCTGCTTTGGCAGTGGTTGACTGCATGGTGCCGAAACCACTCACTGAAAACAAACTAGAAAAGATGTACAATATATACCGCTAAGAGTGAAAAGACAAGCCAAAGAGTGATAATAATAAAAGTAACAGAAGAGCTCAGACCCAAAATATATAGGACTCCTACAAAGCACTAAGGATTGATGACACAATTAAAAAATGGCTGACAGGCCAGGCATGGTGCCTCACGCCTGTAATCCCAGTGTTTTGGGAGGCCAAGCAAGATCACTTGGGGCCAGGAGTTCAAAATTAGACTGGGCAACATAGCAAGAACCCTGTCTCTAAAAAAAATTTAAAAATCAGCTGGGCATGGTTGGATGCAGTGGCTCACGCCTGTAGTCCCAGTACGTTGGGGGGCTGAGGCAGGCGGATCATCTGAGGTCAGGAGTTCAAGGCCAGCCTGACCAACATGGTGAAATCCCATCTCTATTGAAAATACAAAAAGTTGACAAGGTGTTAACTTTTCTCATATTGCTAGCAACTCCTTGATTTCCTCTCTGCAAGTTGTAAAAGGGCCTTTGGAAGATTATATAATTTACCTACAGAGATTGCCTCAGGAGGCTGAGGCAGGAGAATGGCTTGAACCTGGGAGGCGGAGGTTGCAGTGAGCTGAGATTTTGCCACTGCACTCCAGCCTGCGCGGCAGAGCGAGACTTTGTCTCAAAGAAAAGAAAAGAGAACAGAAAAGAGGCCGGGCGCAGTGGCTTATGCCTGTGATCCCAGCACTTTGGGAGGCCAAGGTGAACGGATCACCTGAGGTCAGGAGTTCGAGACCAGCCTGACCAACATGGAGAAACCCCATCTCTACTAAAAATACAAAGCTCGCTGGGTGTGGTGGCACATGCCTGTAATCCCAGGTACTTGAGAGGCTGAGGCAGGAGAATCGCTTGAACCCGGGAGGCAGAGGTTGCAGTGAGCTGAGATCGCGCCATTGCACTCCAGCCTGGGCAATAAAAGCGAAACTCCATCTCAAAAAATAAAATAAAATAAAATCAGCTGGGCATAATGGCACACACCTGTCGTCCTAGCGACTTGGAAGGCTGAGGTGGGAGGATTGTTTTAGTCCAGGATTTTGAGGCTGCAGTAAGCTATGACTGCACCACTGCACTCTAGCCTGGGTGACAGAATGAGACCCTGTCTTAAAAAAAAAAAAAAAAAAAATAGGTGAAAGACTTTACAAAAGGCAACATTGAAAAGTCAATAAACATGAAAAGTTTCTTAAGCTTATTAGTATGCAAAGAAATGCTATTTAAGACCACAGTGTATATACCTACTACATCCATGAGAATGGCCAAAATTTAAAAGACTAACAGTTGGTCCAAGAGTTGTGGGTTGTTAAGCTGATTAATATTGTCTCCCTCTACAACCATGCTTGCCTCGAAAAAATAAAGAAAATAAAAAATAAAAATGCTGGCCGGGCGCGGTGGCTCATGCCTGTAATCCCAGCACTTTGGGAGGCCGAGATGGGTGGAACATGAGGTCAGGAGATCGAGACCATCCTGGCTAACACAGTGAAACCCCGTCTCTGCTGAAAATATAAAAAAGTAGCTGGGCGTGGTGGCGATTGCCTGTAGTCCCAGCTACTTGGGAGGCTGAGGCAGGAGAGTGGCGTGAACGCGGGAGGCGGAGCTTGCAGTAAGCTGAGATCGTGCCACTGCACTCCAGCCTGGGGGACAGAATGAGACTGTGTCTCAAAAAAAATAAAAAATAAATAAATAAATAAAAATAAAAATACCAACAATACCAAACGATGGTAAACAGCTGAAACTCTCGTACCCTGCTGTGAGAGTGTAAATTGGCATAGTCACTTAGGAAAATTGTTTAGTGGTGTCTAATAAAGTTGAACATACACATATATCCTATGACCTTGCAATTTCACCTTTTGTTATGCCCATAGAAATAGATGCAGATGTGTACCAAAGACATGTTGTTGTCGTTGTTGTTGTTGTTGAGACAGAGTTTAGATTTCGTTGCCCAGTCTGGAGTGCAATGTTGTGATCTGGGCTCACCACAACCTCCGCTACCCGGGTTTAAGTGATTCTCCTGCCTCAGCATCCTGAGTAGCTGGGATTACAGGCATGTACCACCATGTCCGGCTAATTTTGCATTTTTAGTAGAGATGGGATTTCTCCATGTTGGTCAGGCTGGTTTCAAACTGCCGACCTCAGGTGATCTGCCGGCCTCAGCCTCCCAAAGTGCCTGGCATCAAAGACATGTTTTAAAATGTTTAAAAATAGGCCGGGCGCAGTGGCTCACACCTGTAATGCCAGCACTTTGGGAGGCTGAGGTGGCTGGATCACCTGAAGTTGGGAGTTCGAGACCAGCCTGGCAAACATGGTGAAACCCCCGTCTCTATTAAAAATACAAAAATTAGCTGGGCGTGGTGGCATGCACCAGTATTCCCTGCTACTCGGGAGGCTGAGGCAGGAGAATCATTTGAACCTCGGAGGCAGAGGTTGCAGTGAGCCGAGATGGCGCCACTGCACTCCAGCCTGGGTGACAAAGTGAGACTCCGTCTAAAATAAATAAATAAACATAAAATAAAATAAAATCCTTGAGATGTACCTGGAAGTGCTCCTCAAACTTTACTGTATGTATGACTCACCTGGAGATCTTGTTAAAAGGTAGATTTTATCCAGTAGTCTGGGGCAAGCTCCAGTTGATGCCCATACTGGTCCACCAAGCATGTTTTGACTATCAAGGGCCTACGGCACTTCCCAAACTATGTTCCACCAACAGTAATGTTTTGCAAATTGTTAACATTATTAAATTACTAAAATATAATAAAAATTTACTTTAAAAACATAATACTGGCTGGGCCCAGTGGCTCATGCCTATAATCCCCACACTTTGGGAGGTCGAGGCAGGAGGATCACTTGAACTCAGGAGTTTGAGACCAGCCTGGGCAACAAAGTGAGACCCCATCTCTACAAAAAATACAAAAATTAGCCGGATGTGGTGGTGCACGCCTGTAGTCCCAGCTACTGGAGAGACTGAGGTGGGAGGATGGCTTGAGCCTGGGAGGCAGAGATTGCAGGGGGCCAAGATCGCGTCACTGCACTCCAGCCTGGGCAACAGAGCCAGACTCTGTCTCAAACACACACACACACACACACACACACACACAAGATATATATATATAAAGTATTTTCAGGTTACTCTTATTTTGTAATAATTTGTTTTTAAAAGTCAGTGTGCCATATCTGACAATAATAACCTCGTAAACATAAAGCTCAGTAAACAGCTATGTGCCAGGTACTGTGACACTACCTAATTTAATCCCGAAGAATATGCCTGGAAGTGGCAGGAAAGGTCAGCCCATGATGAACATGAGCTGTCTGACGCTTCGCTGGAAAAGCAGCACTTAGCAATTGGCATCTCTGTGGTGGATTGTCTATTGATGGGGCCGGAAAACTTCTGTAAAACACTAGGTGGCAAATATTTAGGCTTTCCGGATGTCGAGACTCAGGAAATGCTACCCCAAAGCGAAAGCCTCAGAAGCAGCTCTCTCTGACCTCCTGCCCTTCTGTCTCTTCCCCGCTTTGTCCCCCAGGGCAACCCATAGAAACTAGAATCCTTCTTCTCCACGGTGGGTTATAAGGCCTAAAAATATTATTCTAACCTCTCCCCACCTTTCTGTCTAGAGATGGTCATAAAGAAATTCCCTGACCTATCTGGCTTGACTGTAGGTCATAAGACCCCCATTCCAGGATCCTGTTCTATACCTGAGAGGAAGAAATGCTACAACAGAGATGCCAAGAAGAACCTGAGCAAACGGGTCTTGCTCATCTTCCTCTTCTCGGTCTAGTGCATTAGATCACACCCTTTGCCACAGTTGTACATGACTGACCACTCTTCGTTGCATCTAAGCATAAAAATGGACAGTTTTTTCTATATCTCTGGGTCTTCATTTTGAAGGTTCCCATGTCATGTAAAACCATGATTAAATAAACTTGTTACACTTTTCTCTCGTTAACCTGTCTTTTGTTATAGAAGTGTCTGCCCTGACCCTTATGATGGGAACAAAAGGTATCACACCCTTTTCACCCCTACGCAAATCATAGTATCTGTATCATAACTACTCAGCTCTGCCATTATAGCATGAAAGCATACATATGTAAAAGAATGGGCATAACTGTGGTCCAAAAAACTTCACTGACAAAAAAGGTGGCAGGCCATAGTTTGACAAAAAAGGTGGCAGGCCAAAATAGCCTTTGGCCTATTGAATCTTTAGTCAGTGATATGTGTCTTGTTTTAAAATTTGCATGTATTTTAGCTGACAAAATGTTTTAAAATCTATAGTTTGGTTTCCTTCCTTCCTTCCCTCCCTCTTTCCTTCCCTCCTTCCTTCCTTCCTTCCTTCCTTCCTTCCTTCCTTCCTTCCCTCCTTCCCTCCTTCCCTCCTTCCTTCCTTCTCTCTCTTTCTTTCTTTCTTTCTTTCTTTCTTTCTTTCTTTCTTTCTTTCTTTCTTTCTTTCTTTCTTTCTTTCTTTCTTTCTTTCTTTTCTTTCTTTCTTTCTTTCTTTTCTTTCTTTCGTCTCGCTCTGTTTGTTGCCCAGGCTGGAGTGCAGTGGTGTGATCTCGGCTCACTGTAGACTCCATCTCTGGGTTCAAGTGATTCTCCTCTCTCAGCCTCTGGAATAGCTGAGATTACAGGCATGTGCCACCATGCCTGGCTGATTTTTATATTTTTAGTAGAGACAGGGTTTCACCATGTTGGCCAGGCTGGTCTCGAACTCCTGACCTCAGGTGATCTGCCCACTTCGGCCTCCCAAAGTGCTGGGATTACAGACATGAGCCACTGCACCCAGCCTATAGTTTGTTTTCTTTCTTTTTCTTTTTTTTTTTTTAAGATGAAGTCTTGCTGTGTCTCCCAGGCTGGAGTGCAGTGGCACAATCTCAACTCACTGCAACCTCCACCTCCTCAGTTCAAGCGATTCTCCCATCTCAGCCTCCCGAGTAGCTGGGATCACAGGCATTGGCCACCATGCCTGGCTAATTTTTTGTATTTTTAGTATTTTTAGTAGAGAAGAGGTTTCACTATGTTTGTCAGGCTGGTCTTGAACTCCCAACCTCAAGTGATCTGCCCACCTCAGCTTCCCAAAGTGCTGGGATTACAGGCGTGACCCACTGCGCCCGGCCTACAGCTTTCTATTAAAATTTCAAATATGAGTTCTAATTTTTTTAAAAATGAAGAATCCATTTACGTATTCTATCTCAAGAATGAATTTTTGTTGTTGTGAATGGTCATTCATGGTCATTTATGGTCACATAAGTTTAAAAATGGTCATCTAAGGACAAAGAGAGTCCCCACATTAAATGATATAGGCCAGGTGCAATGGCTCACACCTGTAATCTCAGCACTTTGGGAGGCTGAGGCAGAAGGATGGCTTGAGCCCAGAAGTTTGAGATCAGCCTGGGCAACATAGCGAGACCTTGCCTCTACCAAAAAAAAAAAAAAAATAGAAAAAGAAAAAATTAGCCCGGTGTGGTGGTGTGAGCCTATAGTCCTTCCTACTTGGGAGGTTGAGGTGGTAGGATCACTTGAGCCTGGGAGGTCAATGCTACAGAAAGCCATGATCACATTCATTACCACTCCAGCCTAGGTGACAGAGTGAGACCCTGTCTTTACAAATTTTTTTTTTTAATTTACAAAATGATTTATGGAGTGACAATACAGAAGGGCTAAGTCTTAAGATAGAATTTGCATTCTTGAACCACATACTGCTAGGACACCAGGCAAACTGTACTACAGTTTCATAGAACTAGCAACCATCAATCATACTGCTAAGTTGGTGTACAGACTGCACAGAAATTAAGTATCTGAATTTAGATTCCATATAGAACCCATTCATACTGAGTCCATACTATGAGGCTATGAGAAAGCATTATTTCAACAAATTTAGTTTAAAGATCTAATTAGCTTTTGTTAGTGGCTCACGAATTGGGCAGCATCTCTTCTAAAGAACAGACGAAGTGCTCCAGTGGGTATGGTAGAGTAGTTGGTTTTCTAAAGTAGCTAAAGCAGGAGTAAGAAAACAGAATAACACAAAAAGATTGGTTAACATCAGGTTACTTATACGGGTTAAAGCAAAGGGGACTTCCTTAATGATACCTGTTCAGGTTGACTGGGTCTCTTTTTTTTTTTTTTTTCTTGAGATGGACTCTCGCTCTATTGCCCAGGCTGGAGTGCAATGATGCGATCTTGGCTCATTGCACTGAACCTTCTGGGTTCAAGTGATTCTCCTGCCTCAGCCTCCTGAGTAGTTGGGATTACAGGCACCCACAACCATGCCCGGCTAACTTTTGTATTTTTAGTAGAGACAGCGTTTCACCATGTTGGTCAGGCTGGTCTCGAACTCCTGACCTCAAGTGATCTGCTCGCCTTGGCCTCCCAAAGCGTTGGGATTACAGGTGTGATCAACTGTGCCTGGCCTGACTGGGCTCCTTCTGATTGGTTGCTGCAATCACCTGTTTTTAGGAAAAATGGTCTACTTGGGGTTTTCCTGCTTCCTTAAAGTTTCAGTTGGACGCTGGGCGTGGTGGCTCACGCCTGTAATCCTAGCACTTTGAGAGGCTAAGGTGGGCAGATTGTCAGACCTCAGGAGTTCGTGACCAGCCTGGGCAACAAGGTAAAACTCCATCTCTACTAAAAATATGAAAAATTAGCCGGGTGTGGTGGTGCGCACCTGTAGTCCCAGCTACTCGGGAGGCTGAGGCAGGAGAATTGCTTGAATCCAGGAGACAGAGGCCGCAGTAAGTTGAGATTGTGCCACTGCACTCCAGCCAGGGTGACAGAGTGAGATTCTGTCGCAAAATAAAAAAAAATTTAGGCTGGGTGGAGTGGCTGACGCCTCTAATCCTAGCACTTTGGGAGGCCGAGGCGGGCGGATCACCTGAGGTTGGGAGTTTGAGACCAGCCTGGCTAACATGGAGAAACCCCATCTCTACTAAAAATACAAAATTGGCCAGGTGTGATGGTTTATGCCTGTAATCCCAGCTACTTGGGAGGCTGAGGCAGAATCACTTGAACCCGGGAGGCAGAGGTTTCCGTGAGCCAAGATTGCGGCATTGCACTCCAGCCTGGGCAACAAGAGCGAAACTCCGTCTCAAAAAAAAAAAAAAAAGTTTCAGTTTGATTGTCTGGCACTTTAGCATCAGTGATTCCATTTTGGTTTGGTCTGTTGGGGCTTAGTGTAGGAGCTCAGTCCAAAATAATGGCCGCCTATAAATTTAATCCAGGCCGTCAAAGATAAACAAAGCTGGACTTTAACTGAAGTGGTGACAACTGATGTTATTCAGTAACTATTGACAGTAGTGGAAACAGCTGAACTTCATTCTAATTTACACAAGGTGCCTGTGTTTTAAAGGGAGCATGAGGGCGTAGGAAGGAGGAGCAATAGGGAACGCAAGTGAAACATTACAAAGGGTTGGTCGGTGTAAATGTGAATAGACTGTGTCTGCAAGCTGGGAATTACATTTTTGTTTGTTTGTTTTGAGACAGGGTGTCACTCTGTCACTCAGGCTGGAGTATAGTGACATGATCTCAGCTCACTGCAACCTAGGCTCAAGTGATCTTCCCACCTCAGCCTTTTGAGTAGCTGGAGGCTGAGGTGGGAGGATTATCTGGCTAATTTTGTGTATTTTTAGTAGAGACAGGGTCTTGCCATGTTGCCCAGGCTGGTCTTGAACTCCTGAGCTCAAGCAATCCCCCTACCTTGGCCTCCCAAAGTGCTGGGATTACAGGCGTGAGCCACCACGCCCGGCCATACTAAGCCGGCAATTATGGAAGTTAGGATTTTATCCTCCCACAGAGACTGGGGGACAGAAGCACTGTCCTCATAATCATATCTTAATTTATTTTTTCTTGAGACGGAGTCTCACTTTGTTGCTCAGGCTGGAGTGCAGTGGTGCAATCTTGGCTCACTGCAATAGCCGCCTCCCAGGTTCAAACAATTTTCCTGCCTCAGCCTCCCGAGTAGTTGGGACTACAGGCGTATTTTTGGCTAACTTGTATTTTTAGTAGAGACGGGGTTTTGCCATGTTGGCCAGGCTGGTCTCAAACTCCTGACCTCAGGTGATCTGCCTGCCTTGGCCTCCCAAAGTGCTAGAATTACAGGCGGGAGCCAATGCACCCAGCCTAATTTTATATTTCTAACTCACACTACCTTATAGTTGTGGAAAGATTCCTCTGAAATACTTCCGAAAATATGATCTTTTGCTACAATAAAGAACAAGTGTGACTGGGCACTGTGGCTCATGCATGTAATCCCAGCACTTTGGGAGGCCAGGGTGAGACGATCACTTGAGCCCAGGAGAGCTGGAGACCAGCCTGGGCAAAATGGCGAGATTCCTGTCTCTACAAAAAATTAACAAATTAGCCAGGTGTGGTGGCATGCACCTGTAGTCCCAGCTACTCGGGAGGCTGAGGCAGGAGGATTGCCTGAGCCTGGGAGTCCGAGGCTGCAATGAGCTATGATGGTGCTACCACTCTCCAGCCTGGGTGACAGAGTGAGACCCCAGTTCTAAAAAATACAAAAAAAAGAAAAGAAAGAAAAGGAAAAAGAACAAGTGTATCTACTCTATAGCAGAAACAGAAACTTTGAAAACTGTTTTTGTAAATATGTGCTAGAAGCTTTCACTTGGCATTATCAGTACATCTAATTTTAGCTATGCTAGTCTGCATGGAATGGTATCTTTTTTTTTTTTTTTTTTTGAGACGGAGTTTCCCTCTTGTTGCCCAGGCTGGAGTGCAGTGGTGTGATCTCGGCTCACTACAACCTGTGCCTCCCAGGTTCAAGTGATTCTCCTGCCTCAGCCTCCTGAGTAGCTGGGATTAGAGGCATGCGCCACAACGCCCAGCTAATTTTTTGTTATTTTTAGTAGAGATGGGGTTTCACCATGTTGGTCAGGCTGGTCTCGAACTCCTGACCTCAAGTGATCCACCCGTCTCGGCCTCCCAAAGTGCTGG